GCCCTCAGAACCGTTTTGTGGCCCTCTGGGCCCGAGAAGGCGAGAACACCCAAACCAAAGAAACACTTAAGGACAATCTATGTGTTTTGCCTCCTCAGGCCGTCTGGGGGTCCCTCTTGGGGGGCTCCTTGGCCATCCTCGGGGCGTCTTGAGCCGTCTTGGGGGCCACTTGGAGCCCTCTTGGGCCCTCTTTGGGGCCTCCTATGGCCCTCTTGGGTTCATTTTGAAATTCTTTTGGGCTGTCTTGGGCCCTTCTTGGGGCCCTCATGAAATGTCTTGGGGCAACATGTCGGGCCGGTTGGGCCGTCTTGGCCCGTCGGACGCTCGAAAAGGCGAGAATCTCAATGAATATGTTTTGGACTCCTCGAACCCTCGTGAGGGTTCTCTTGAGGGCCTCCCTTCGGCGCCGTTTTCAGGCTCTCTGGGACCATCCCGATGCCATCTTAGGCCGTCTTGGAATGCTCTTGGGCGGTCTTGGGCTCTCTTGTAGCGCTCTTGGACCACTCTTGGGCAATCTTGTGGGGCCTCTTGGTCGCTATTGGGGGCCTCTTTGGCACTCTTTTTGTGGGGGCGTGTTACGCTGGCGCGGCCGCGCTGCGCCCCTCCCCTGCAATCCCTCCCCAGAAAAGGGGTTCTTGCCACCAAGGACGTCATCACTCGTGCCGCGCTCTTTCCCTCACCTGGGGCGGCACGGGAACGGAGAGAACGCTTCAAGAACTTGCCCGAGAGGGCTGCTGGCACTGTTCGCTCCTGGAATCCTTGGCGTTGGCAGCTTTTTCACGTCGCCGTTCGCTCTGGAGAGCCTTTGTGGGAAGAGCTTCACCGTTCGCTCTTGGGAGCCTTGGCGTTGAGGGCTTTTGCTGTAACCGTTCGCTCGTGGGAGCTTTGGCGTTAACTAAGAGCCTTTTACGTCACCGTGCGCTCTTGGGAGTTTGGCGTTCAGAGCTCTCTGCGCTACTGTTCGCTCTTGAGACCCTTGGCGTTCAACGCTTTTTACGTCACCGACTCTTTTAAAAAATGCTTTCTGGTCACATGGTGCTCTTGAGAGCCTTGGCGTCGAAGCTACATCCATCACTGGGCCGTCTGGGGGAGGTCCTCTCGGGGCCCTTTGAGGTGTGATGGGCGGCCTTCTTGGGCCGTTCTGGGGACCTCTTGGGCAGTCTTAGGGGCTTGGCCCGTTTTGAAGCATTCTTCGGCCCTCTTCGCGGCCTCACACGGCACTCTTGGGGCTGTCTTGGGAGCCGCTTGGAGCCCTTTTGGGCCCCTCTTGAGCAGTCTTGGCCGTGCAATTTTCAATCAAAGTGCCCCTTCCAGCGCTCGCACTTCTTTTCCACAAGGGACAGCGAGGGGTCACCAAACTAAGCTTTTGGGCTCAATTTTGCAACAACACCTGCTCCCGCCCAATACTTCCTCATAATGTATTCCCGAAGCGCGCTCTCGCGCGGGACTTCCTCACAAAGTATACAGGAATCGCGCTCTCGCGTGGAACTTCCTCGCAATTGATTCAAAGGCGCGCCCTCGACTCTGAGGAATCACGCTCTCGCTGTGGAACTCCTTACGATTTACTTGGGAATCGCGCTATCACTTGAGTCTCCCTCACGATTCATGCAGGACTCAGGCTTCGGCAACCCGCCTGTCCCTTGTCCGTTCCTTCTATCCGTCCTCTCTTCCCCTGCCTCAGGGGCGGCACGACATACACGTTGCAGGTAAGCAAGATATACCCCTAACGGGTGCGATCGAAGTCGGGCAATTCGGGTATCGAGGGTTTGAGATATACGTATTGGATGGCACGCAAACAGATAAGGACGATCAATCTTGAACTGATTGAGTACTCATCTCTAGAGAATAATTCTCGTTGATCTCCGGGAGCGGTTCCGCGCAATCTCGCCTCGACGCCGGCTACATTATTTCTGAAAACGAGGCTCTCGCGCGAGCTTTGGCTTGAATGTAAATGTGTGCCCTTGGAGGCTGGGCTAAAACCATCACGGCTACCGCTCGATACCTCCTCATAATTTACCCCGAGACACCCTGGCCAGAGAGGCCTCCGAACTCAGGAACGGCGCTCTGGCTCGAGACTTCCTCGCAATTCAATCAAGTTGGCGGCGGCCCATCCACGACGATAAGGACTCCTGCTTGGTACTTCCTCACGATGTACTCCGAGAGCCCCTGGCCAGGAAGGCCCCCGGATTCAGGAACGGCGCTCTCGCTCGAGACTTTCTCGCGATCCAGTCAAATTGGTGGAGGCCCAACTACGATGACAAGGTCTCCGGTTCGATACTTCCTCAAGATGTATTCGCAGGGGCCCTTGCCAGAGAGGCCCCCGAACTCAAGAGTGGCGCTCTCGCTCGAGACGCCCTCGTCATTCAGTCAAGTTGGTGGAGGCCCAGCGGCGGCGACAAGGGCACCCGTTCGATAATCCTCAAGCTGTACTTCGAGCCCCCGTGGCCAGAGACTGAACTTCAGTAGAGGCGCTGGAGGCCGGCCTGCGACGACAGGGGCTCCCGCTCGACACGCCCTCGCAGTGGACTCCTACACGCCCTGGCCAGAGGCCCTCGAACCACAGAGGCCCCAGCACGCTGCTCATTTAGGCCTTCGGTCACAGCCGACAGAAGCTCCAAGCGCGCCCACAGGGGCCCCAGCACGCTGCCCACTGAGGCCCTCGGACGCTGCCCGCAGAGGTCCCCGCGCGCCCACAGAGGTTCCAGCACGCTGCCCACTGAGGCCCTCGGACACAGCCCGCAGAGGACCCAAACGCGCCCACAGAGGCCCCAAGCGCGCCCACGGCCCCGGCGCGCTGCCCACAGAGGCCCCCCGACACAGCCCGCAGAGGCCCCAAGCGCGCCCACAGAGGCCCCAGCGCGCTGCCCACAGAGGCCCCCCGACACAGCCCACAGAGGCCCCAGCCCACTGAGGCCCCAAGCGCGCCCACTGAGGCCCAAGCGCGCTGCTCACTGAGGCCCACAGACACAGCCCACCGAGGCCCCAAGCGCGCGCCCACAGAGGCCTCAGCCCACAGTGGTGCCAAGCGCGCCCACGGAGGCAACCGCGCGCTGCCCACGAAGGCCCCCCAACACAGCCCAGAGAGGCCCCAAGCGCGCCCACAGCGGTTCCAGCCCACAGAGGCCCCAAGCGCGCCCACAGAGGCCCCAGCGCGCGCTGTCCACCGAGGCCCCCCGACACAGCCCACCGAGGCCCAAGCCCGCAGAGGCGCAGCCACGATGACAAGGGCTCCCGCTCGATACTTCCTCACGGTTTACTCCGAGAGGCCCTCTCTCGTGCTTCATCCTTCTCCCTCCCACATCCGTCCTCTCTTCCCCTGTTATAGGGGCTGCGCTAAATGCGCGTGGCAGGTAAAGAAGATATACCCCTGAGGGGATACGGTCGAAGACGAAGGGGGCGGATATCGAGGGGTTGGGTTATACGTGTTAAGTGGCACGTCGTCAAGTAAGAACGAACGATATTAAACTAGTTGTTGTTGTTGTTGTTGTTGTTGTTGTTGTTGTTGTTGTTGTTGTTATGCTTGCTTGTTGTTGTCGCCGTCGTCCCACTCGCGACCCGGCCCGCTAACCACCCGCGACCAAACCGAGATCCACCCGCGACCCACCGGCGACCCACCCGCGACCCATTTGCGACCCACCCGCGACCCGCTGGCGACCAACCCGCCACCCGCGACCCACCCGACCCCGCGCCCGCCCCCTCACTCTTATCCGCAGCTGCGGGGTGCTACATTAAATTTCGGAGCTCCGCGCGGATTTCTTGGATCGGCGCCTGGGGCGGCCCTGCCAGGGGGGGTCAAGCGCAGATCCAACAAATCCGCGCGGACCTCCGACAACCTATGTTTATGCTATTCATTCTTCTTCGATTGCCTCGAGCCCTTGCAGCTGGCTCCAGGACACGCTGCTGGGCCTCGAGGCCGAGAACGGGTGACCGTCGAAGCCGTCGAAGAATGCCCAGAACCGCTCCGCGGCCGCCGGCGATGTCAAATTTACGAACGCGAGCCCTCGGGTCTCGAAAGCATCGACATGTACCGGAAGATGCACCAGGTCAAACTGCCCCGAGCAGCCGTGGGCATCCAGCATGCTGACCAGCATCTCGCGACTGAAGTTGTAGTGAATGCCGCGCAGCATCGCCGTGGTGTAAGTCTCCGTTGCGATGCCCGCCTGCGTGCCGCCCTCTCCGGGATCAGGCTTGCCAAGAGGCGTACGCGTCCGCTGGCTCACGGGAGAGGGTGCCACATCGTGCCTGGAGATGAACGGTCTCGACTTTGCGGAGAGTGGCGTGCGGAAGCCCGCAGCTGCTAGAGGAGTGACGCTGTCGTGCGCTCCGCGCCAGCACCAATCAGATCGTCTGCGTGCCAGATGTGGCTATCGGCGACAGCGGTTTGCTGACTTCGAGGGCCCACCACGGCTGGAGGTCGCTGCGTGTAGAACTGGTCGCTGGAATGAGATCTGCCAGCAACAGAGGGGTTGGCTCGTCGTCTTCCATGTCTGCCCAAGCGAGGGCCGCTGTGAGCGGGCGCTTGCTGCGATCCTAGTCACAGTCAGCCGCAAACTGGTTACCAATGGGTGCCATCGCACTGGTAGAGGATACTTGAATGCCTTTGATATGAAGGTGTTGCAAAAATGTCCATCCGAGGGTCAATGAGTCCATCCGAGGGTCAATGATAAAATGTGCGCACTGGGCAAACATGGCCGCGGACAAGAGGGACACGTAATTGTCGGACACGGAGCCACCTTCAGATTCAGACAAAACAGATGCCAAATACCTGTAGGTCCCTCACTGCGCATGGACATACAAACAACCGAATTTCAGACGCGCCGCCCAGACCCAGCCGGCGGGAGGACGGCAGAGGAGAGGGACGGAGGGAGAAGAGACGGACAAGGAGGGACGGAGCGAGAGAGGAGGGAGAGAGCAGGGAGAGAGGGAGGAGGGCGGGACGGCCGGCGAGGAGGAAGCCACCGATGAGCCCGCGAGTGGCGCGCCCCCCCGCGGCGCGGCACCCGCTCGCCCTCCGCGGCCGGCTGCCAGCGGCTCTGCGCCCACGCGGCGGCGGCGGCCTGGCCACGGAGAGCGCGGCGGGGGAAGACAAGAAGAGGGCCTGGACCTCCGGCATCCAGAGAAAATCGGCACGGAGGCCTTTCCATCGTCGAGGAAGCCATTCTCGTGGTGGGAGGAAGGGGTCAGGAAGATACAGGGGACGAGCACCTTCGCCATACACATCCCGCGTGAAAATCCAAAAGAACGTGGGCTTGAGCTCGCTCAAACTTAGCTCTGGGAGGGGGGGCCGTGTTCCGCTTTCGGGGGGGGGGGGGAGTCCCTGGTGTCGCTCTGGAGATGAGGTGGGGCCGTGACCCGCTTTCGGGAATGAGTCCCTGGTTTCGCTATGGAAAGGGGGGGGGGTCCGTGTCCCGCTTTCGGGGGGGTGGTCCCTGGGACCGGAGCCGGGCCAGAGCCGGGACCGGGGCCACAGCCGGGGCCAGGCCAGGGGCCGGGCCAATGCTGGATTCAAGCGGTTGCGTTGGCTGCTTGCTTGGTCCTCCGTGAGACGTGGAGAATCACATGTTCTCCACACTGGAGGACATGCGAGAAAACAATGTCAGCTGGAAAACCAAATCTGCCACAGCTACAAGTTCAAGTAAGCTCTGTTTTCATGGTGGACAGCACAGAACTCCCCACGCTGGCGCGCGAATAGGAAATTCTGTATGGCCTGTATTGGGACACGTACACCTGAACCCATGCTAACTTGGAAATCCAAGCAGTCACCGCTAAGGATTCACCAGGATTTCCAGGCCAAAATAATTGTCCTACTGCGGACAGCGCAGTAAACCCCACGCGCGCGCGAGTGGGAAGTTCTGTATTGTTCATAACAGAACACATACACATAACACGATGTTGATTTGGAGATTCAGCGGGTCATCACTGAGGGTTAAATTGCGTTTCCAGGTCGGCACGGCGATTTTCTGTATCGTCCATGGTAGAAAACATACGCGCGACACCATGTGGAGTTGCAAAATCCAATCGGTCACTGCTGAGGGTTCACTGGAGTTTCTAGGTCAACATGGCGACCTCTTTATTCCCAACCCTCCTTGGTTGGGTATTCGTTTTCAATAGAGCACCGCTGTCGCGTCTCCTCCTCCTCCTCCTCCCGCCTCCTGCCTCCCGCCTCTTGCCTCCCGCGAGACATCGCCGTCCCTGGGGGGGGGTCTGCGATCTGCAAAACTGTCGCCACTTTCGAGGGCTGCTGGTGGGTCCAGCGGAGTGAGGCACCGCGCAGATCTGAGCGGTAGCTCGCCGTCCCTGGTGGGCTGCGGTCTGCGAAACTGTCGCCGCTGTCGAGGGCTGCTGGTGGGTCCAGCGGGGTGAGGCAACGCGCCGATCTGAGCGGTAGCTCGCCGTCCCTGGGGGGCTGCGGTCTGCGAAACTGTCGCCGCTACTTTCGAGGGCTGCTGGTGGGTCCAGCGGGGTGAGGCACCGCGCAGATCTGAGCGGTAGCTCGCCGTCCCTGGTGGGCTGCGGTCTGCGAAACTGTCGCCACTGTCGAGGGCTGCTGGTGGGTCCAGCGGGGTGAGGCAACGCGCCGATCTGAGCGGTAGCTCGCCGTCCCTGGGGGGCTGCGGTCTGCGAAACTGTCGCCGCCACTTTCGAGGGCTGCTGGTGGGTCCAGCGGGGTGAGGCACCGCGCAGATCTGAGCGGTAGCTCGCCGTCCCTGGGGGGCTGCGATCTGAGAAACTGTCGCCACTTTCGAGGGCTGCTGGTGGGATCGACACTTTCGAAGGCTGCTGCTGGGTCCAGCGGAGTGAGGCACAGCGCAGACCTGAGCGGGGCCTCGCCGTCCTTGGGGGGAGGCATGTCATGTTGTTGCTGCCCCGTCGACGTTTCAAGCCCCTTGCCTACCGTCTCCTTGTGGACCTTGCCTCTTCCTTAGTAACTCAGGGGTTCACTTGGTTACTCATCGTGTTTCCCTTGATTGGAGACTTGCGAACCTTCCGAATGCCGCTCGCAAAAATATGTGCGTCCATGTCACATCGCCGCCTTCTCGTCGAATCTCCCAAGCTACTCCTGCCCCGCATTGCGCAGGGGTTGGGTACGCCGCCAGGGAAATTGTTGACAATGCAGATCCCCCCACGCGCTCGCACGCGTGCCGCGGCGCGCCCGCGCGCGCGCCCGAGGGAAGTTATGTATGGTCGATCGTCGAGAACATGCGGCACAAGCCATGTCATCTGGAAATTCAAATCAGTCACCACTAAAAATTAACTTGATTAACCTGCTCACCATGGCGACTCCTGCCGTGGACACACACACACACACGCAGAACTCCGCACTCGCGCGCGCCGCGGCGGGCGCGTGTGCGAGTGCGACGTTTTGTATGGGTCAGAAATGGACAACCTGCACCAGAACCCATGTGATCGTGAAGATCCAGTCGGTCACCGCTACGGTTTCACTTGAATATCCAAGCAAGCATTGCCACGATTGTTGTGGACAGCGCAGAACCCCCCTTGCTTGCCGCGGAGCGCGCGCGCGGGGAGTTCTGTAGTGTTAATAATGCATGCTTTCAATGCGTGGAGCTCCCCACATGTGCATCTATTAGCATGGACCTGTCCGCAATGCGTATCTAGGCGCAACAATTTTTTGAATATTCACGGGCTTGAGCATTGACGGTCCGGGGGCGCATCTAAATGTGAATGACTTGGAGTGTGAATGAGTCTCAATCGTATCAGTGCGTCTCTGCGCATGAGCCTGGGGCCTCCTGGGGCCTCTTGGGGCCTCCTGGGGCTTCCTGGGGCCTCCTGGAGCCTCTTGGGGCCTCTAGGGCTGAGGCCTCCTGGGGCCTCGTGTGGCCTCCTGGGGCCTCCTGGAGCCTCCTGGCAGCATCCTGGGGCCTCCTGGAGTCTCCTGGAAGCCTCCTGGGGCCTCCTGGGGAGGATTCGTGCCCGAGGCCCGATCTATAGGAACAATCATGCATAAAACACTACGGATTGGAGCCACAGGGGAGGGGCAATCTACAGGAGCACGCGCAAAACACCAAGGGGTCGTGCCCCAGGGCAAGCCCAATCCATAGGAACATACGTAAAACACTGAGGAATGGATACGCAGGAAAAGGACACTCTATAGGAACATACGCAAACACACAAAGGATTCGTGCTCCAGGGGAGGCACAATCTGTAGGAGCAGACGTACAACATATGGGATTGGAACCACTCCTGTGGCCTTCTGAGGCCTCCTGCTCCTGGGGCCTCTTGGGGCCTCCTGGTGCCTTCCGGGGCATCCTGGTGCCTCCTGGCGCTTCCTGTGGCCTCCTGGGCGCTCGAGACATCCCCGCCATGTTGGCGCGAACGGAGGAGAGCAGTACCCTCTGGCGGCTCCCCCTTGGGAGCGGACATGAGCGACTCGCTCGAGACATCTTCCATATCTGCTCCGAAAGCGGAGGATGCTGAGCACCAAAACAAGCAAACCACTCAAGGCATCCCCGCCACTGTGGCGCGAATGGAGGAGTGCAATACCCCCTGGCGGCTCCCCCTCGGGGGTGCTGAAACCCGCGCCTCGCTCGAGCGATCCTCAGAAATTGATCCGCCATCATCATCATCATCATCATCATCATCATCATCATCATCATCATCATCATCATCACCACCACCACCACCATCATCATCATCATCATCATCATCATCATCAATTTCTTCTCCTTATAGATAACTCCTCCCTGTCGCACCCCGAGACCAGTTTTTAGGGCGGGCCGGGCGCTTCGCCTGAGACTTCTCACCACTTATGACTCTGAAGCTTAAAACATCACAACAGTTTCACAGATGGAGGGCGGGTGGCTTTCCAAATGTGGCTCTCGCCTTAGCGCCGCGCACATTCGCTGTAAACATTTGCAAGAGTTTCACGGACTGAGGGCGGGTGGTTTTCAAAATGTGACTCTCGTCTTAGCGCCGCGCACATTCGTTTTAACAATTTGCAGAAGTTTCATGTGGCTCTCGCCTTAGCGCCGCGCACATTTGTTTCAAATATTTGCAAGAGCTTCACGGATTGAGGGTGGGTGGTTTTCAAAATGTGGTTCTCGCCGTGGCGCCGCGCACATTCGTTTTACAAATTTGCAGGAGCTTCACGGGTTCAGGGCGGGTGGTTTTCAAAATGTGGTTCTCGCCTTAGCGCCGCGCACATTCGTTAAAACATGTGCACGAGTTTCACGGATTGAGGGCAGTTCCTTTTCAAGATGTGGCTCTCGCCTTAGCGCCGTGCACACCTGTTTTAACATTGGCAAGAGTCTCGCGGACTCCCATGATCAGCGTACCAGAAATGGTGTTTTTGGAAGGATTCCGGATTATGCGGGCGCAGCAATTATTTTGATTCGCTGTGTTGAAATCCTGCAAATGGCGTTCTGACACGACCCTGGATCGTCAAGACGCAGCAGTCAGGTTGATACGCGGCGTCGAAATCCCGAGAACAATGTTTTGGCACGCTTCAGGATCTTCAAACTGTTGTCTTCCAGCGAGGCAGTTCCCTCAATGGAAACGAACCGCTGTAGGAGCCAATGAAGAGGGAGCTTGGGGGGAAGGTTCATTCCAACATCGTTGATGACTCTTGGGCTTCCACTGGTCATCCTCCTCCTCATCATCACCACCATCATCATCAGCAGCATCATCATCAACATTATCAACATCAGCATCACCATCGCAGTAGCAGAACATACCATTCAATCATTACCATAACATGACGTATCCTAACATACCATAACATAACAGACACGCCAAACCATTGTGTACCATATCATACCATAACATCACATGGCATCAATAACATTCATCATCACACTCTTAGTGAGATGGGGAAGATATCGAAGAGGGGAGGAGGTGACCTGAAGAAGGAGTCGGCGCGGCCAGAGTAATGATTATTCATTGCATGGAGCTCCCCACATGTGCATCTATTGGCATGGACCTGTCCGCAATGAGTGTCTAGGCGCAAGAGTTTTCGAATATTCACGGGCTGGAGTATTGACGGTCTGGGAGCGAATCTAACTGTGAATGAGTTGGAGTGTGAATGAACCTCAATAGTATT